ACTCAGACTGTCACCAAGGTGGGATGGTGTTGCGTTGTTAATACGACCAATAACAACTTAATTTTAATGATGACTTGACAACGGAAAACGTAAGTGGTTACGGAGTTGAACACATTGATTCTAGCTAGAATTAGCATCAATCACTGCATTCATCCACCATTGCAGCCACCTATTACTCCAACTACCCACCATTAAATCCACCTATGACTGCATCCATCCACCATTACATCCACCTATTACTACATCTATCCACCATTGCTTCCACCCACTCATCAGCGCATCCACCCATCAACCGACCAATGCCCAACTGGTGGTGGAGTGCTGTAACAACGGGGGTGTGGAGAGCTTTAACTCTAGGAAGTGGAGAGCTTTAACTCTAGGAGGTGAAGAGCTTTAACTCTAGGAGATTGAGAGCTTTAGCTCTAGTAAGAGGAGAGCTTTAATTCTAGGAAGTGGAGAGCTTCAACTCTAGGAAGTGGAGAGCTTTAACTCTAGGAGGTGGAGAGCTTAAACTCTAGTAAGTAAAGAGCTTTAACTCAAGGATGTTGAGAGGTTTAATTCTAGGAAGTGGAGAGCTTTAACTCTAGGTGAAGAGCTTTAACTCTAGGAGTTTGAGAGCTTTAACTCTAGGGTAGGCGAGGTTTAACTCTAGGAAGTGTAGAGGTTTATCTCTGAAGTGAAGAATTTAAACTCTGAAGTGAAAAGCTTTAACTCTAGGAAGTGGAGAACTTTAACTCTAGGAGGTGAAGGGCTTTAACTCAAGGAGGTGGAGAGCTTTAACTCCAGGAAATGGAGAGCTTTAACTCTAGGAAGTGGAGAGCTTTAACTCTAGGAAGTGGAGAGCTTTAACTCTAGGAGGTGGAGAGCTTAAACTCTAGGAGGTGGAGAGATTTAACTCTAGGAAGTGGAGAGCTTAATTCTGAAGTGAAGAGCTTTAACTCTAGAAAGTGGAGAACTTAACTCTAGGAGGTGGAGAGCTATAGTTGTAGAAGGTGAAAGGCTTTAACTCTAGGAGGTGGAGAGCTTTAGCTGTAGAAGGTGAAAGGCTTTAACTCTAGGAGGTGGAGAGCTTTAATTTTGAAGTGAAGGCCTTTAACTCTAGGAGGTGGAGAGCTTTAAGTCTAGGAAGTGGAGAGCTTTAACTGTAGGAGATGGAGAGCTTAAACTCTAGGAGGTGGAGAGATTTAACTCTAGGAAGTGGAGAGCTTTAACTCTAGGAAGTGGAGAGCTTTAACTCTAGAAAGTGGAGAGCTTTAATTCTAGGAGGTGGAGAGCTTAAACTCTAGGAGGTGGAGAGATCTAACTCTAGGAAGTGGAGAGCTTAATTCTGAAGTGAAGAGCTTTAACTCTAGAAAGTGGAGAGCTTTAACTCTAGGATGTGGAGAGCTTTAGCTGTAGAAGGTGAAAGGCTTTAACTCTAGGAGGTGGAGAGCTTTAATTTTGAAGTGAAGACCTTTAACTCTAGGAGGTGGAGAGCTTTAACTGTAGGAGGTGGAGAGCTTAAACTCTAGGAGGTGGAGAGATTTAACTCTAGGAAGTGGAGAGCTTTAACTCTAGGAGGTGGAGAGCTTAAACTCTAAGAGGTGGAGAGATTTAACTCTAGGAAGTGGAGAGCTTAATTCTGAAGTGAAGAGCTTTAACTCTAGAAAGTGGAGAGCTTTAATTCTAGGAGGTGGAGGGCCTTAGCTCTAGGAGGTGGAAGGCTTTAACTCTAGGAGGTGGAGAGCTTTAATTCTGAAGTGAAGAGATTTAACTCTAGAAAGTGGAGAGCTTTAACTCTAGGAGGTGGAGAGCTTTTGCTGTAGAAGGTGAAAGGCTTTAACTCTAGGAGGTGGAGAGCTTTAATTTTGAAGTGAAGACCTTTAACTCTAGGAGGTGGAGAGCTTTAACTCCAGGAAGTGGAGAGCTTTAACTGTAGGAGGTGGAGAGCTTTAACTCAAGGGTATGGAGAACTTTAACTCAAGGAGGTGAAGAGCTTTTACTCTAGGAGGTGGAGAGTTTTAACTCTAGGAAGTGAAGAGCTTTAACTCTAGGAAGTGGAGAGCTTTAATTCTAGGAAGTGGAGAGCTTTAGCTCTAGGAGGGGAAGAGCTTTAACTCTAGGAAATTGAGAGCTTTAACTCTAGGAAGTGGAGAGCTTTAACTCAAGAATGTTGAGAGCTTTAACTCTAGGAGGTGGCGAGCTATAACTCTAGGTGGTGGAGAGCTTTAATTCTAGGTGGTGGAGAGCTTTAGCTCAAGCATTTTGAGAGCTTTAACTCTAGGAGGTGGAGAGCTTTAATTCTAGGAGGTGGAGAGCTTTAACTCTAGGAGGTGGAGAGCCTTAACTCAAGGAAGTGGAGAGCTTTAACTCCAGGAAGTGGAGAGCTTTAACTCTAGGAAGTGGAGAGCTTTAACTCTAGGAGGTGGAGAGCCTTAATTCTAGGAGGTGGAGAGCTTTAAGTCTAGGAAGTGGAGGGCTTTAACTCTAGGAAGTGTAGAGCTTTAACTCTAGGAGGTGGAGAGCTTTAATTCTGAAGTGAAGAGATTTAACTCTAGAAAGTGGAGAGCTTTAACTCTAGGAGGTGGAGAGCTTTAGCTGTAGAAGGTGAAAGGCTTTAACTCTAGGAGGTGGAGAGCTTTAGCTGTAGAAGGTGAAAGGCTTTAACTCTAGGAGGTGGAGAGCTTTAATTTTGAAGTGAAGACCTTTAACTCTACGAGGTGGAGAGCTTTAACTCTAGGAAGTGGAGAGCTTTAACTGTAGGAGGTGGAGAGCTTTAACTCAAGGGTATGGAGAGCTTTAACTCAAGGAGGTGAAGAGCTTTTACTCTAGGAGGTGGAGAGTTTTAATTCTAGGAAGTGAAGAGCTTTAACTCTAGGAAGTGGAGAGCTTTAATTCTAGGAAGTGGAGAGCTTTAGCTCTAGGAGGTGAAGAGCTTTAACTCTAGGAAGCGGAGAGCTTTAACTCTAGGAAGTGGAGAGCTTTAACTCAAGAATGTTGAGAGCTTTAACTCTAGGAGGTGGAGAGCTATAACTCTAGGTGGTGGAGAGCTTTAATTCTATGTGGTGGAGAGCTTTTGCTCAAGCATTTTGAGAGCTTAAACTCTAGGAGGTGGAGAGCTTTAATTCTCGGAGGTGGAGAGCTTTAACTCTAGGAGGTGGAGAGCCTTAACTCAAAGAAGTGGAGAGCTTTAACTCCAGGAAGTGGAGAGCTTTAACTCTAGGAAGTGGAGAGCTTTAATTTTGAAGTGGAAAGCTTTAACTCTAGGAGGTGGAGAGCTTTAACTCAAGGAAGTGGAAAGCTTTAACTCTAGGAGGTAGAGAGCTTTAACTCAAATAAGTGGAGAGCTTTAACTCAAATAAGTGGGGAGCTTTAACTCAAATAAGTGGAGAGCTTTAACTCTAGGAGGTGGAGTGCTTTAACTCAAGGAAGTGGAGAGCTTTAACTCTAGGAAGTGGAGAGCTTTAACTCTAGGAAGTGGAGAGCTTTAATTTTGAAGTGGAAAGCTTTAACTCCTAGAGGTGGAGAACTTCAACTCTAGGAAGTGGAGAGCTTTAATTTTAGGAGATGGAGAGCTTTAACTCAAGGAAGTGGAGAGTTTTAACTTTAGGAAGTGGAGAGCTTTAACTTTATTAAGTGGAGAGGTTTAACTTTAGGAGAGGAGAGCTTTAACTCTAGGTGGTGGAGAGTTTTAACTATAGGAAGTGGAGAGCTTTAACTCTAGGAGGTGGAGAGCCTTAATTCTAGGAGGTGGAGAGCTTTAAGTCTAGGAAGTGGATAGCTTTAACTCTAGGAAGTGTAGAGCTTTAACTCTAGGAGGTGGAGAGCTTTAACTCTAGGAGGTGGAGAGCTTTAACTCTCGGAAGTGGAGAGCTTTAACTCTAGGAGGTGGAGGGCTTTAACTCTAGGAGGTGGAGAGCTTTAATTCTGAAGTGGAGAGCCTTAACTCTTGGAGGTGGAGAGCTTTAACTCCAGGAAGTGGAGAACTTTAACTCTAGAAGGTGGAGAGCTTTAACTCTAGGAAGTGTAGAGCTTTAACTCCAGGAAGTGGAGAACTTTAACTCTAGGAGGTGGAGAGCTTTAACTCTAGGAGGTGGAGAGCCTTATCTCTAGGAGGTGGAGAGTTTTAACTGTAGGAGGTGGAGAGCCTTAACCCTAGGAGGTGGAGAGACTTAACTCTAGGAGATGGAGAGGTTAAACTTTGGGAAGTGGAGAGTTTAATCTTTAGGGGACGATCAGTTTAACTCTGGGGTGGGGAGCTCTGACTCTGGGTGGTTTGAGATTCTTAACTCCGGGTGGAGCTAAATTCAGATTCAGATTTGACCACGCGAGGGCTAGTTTATTGGGCACTCCTTGGATCCTGTGCAAGGCGAAGCGCCAACGCTTGTTTACAGCGCCCAACAGGGAAGCATGTGGTGTTCATGCGTTCCTTTTTTGACTCATGCTATTTAAGAACGCAAGTGCCTAGGATCTATGGGATGAAGGGCTCCAACCTTGCGGGGGGTTATGTTGTAGATTGTACTGGGTGTAGTTGTAAAACTTTGACCTTGGGTGGGTGGTGAGTATCGACCACGGGGGAGGGTTGTAGGTTTTGAATATTTGACTCACTTGTTTTCTATTCAGCAGGTGCTACTCAGTCCTTGACCTTCTTGTTACGTACGATATACACTAAATTTTAATGATAACGAAAATAAAGTATTGTCAACCATCACAGGTATCACCAACATAAAGATTACCGAGATCTTAATCTAACATATAAATAGCACAAGAGCGCTCAGTGGTTTGCGTTTGTTTCTAATAATGTTTTTTTTTTCGTCACTGAACTCCTGGGATACTTTTCTTCTGAACCGGAAATCCAGATTGAAGGTGATAAGCATACCTTAACTTCCTGTCTTTCGGGAAAAACCAATAATAGTATTTGATTACTGGCAACATTCAGTCAAGTGAAGGTCACATCGTCATCTACTTATGACGTGGCCAGATAACTTATGGAGATAATTATTAGTGAACTCCAAGTCCCCAATCTTTATCGCTCTCTCGCACTTGCTGGTTCAGCTCCCAGGTGGTGGTCTGCCATACTTGTCTCTCACCTGCACCACCTACGAACCATGACCAGTCTTCGCCACAGACTTCACTGAAGAGAAACGTTACAGAGAAGAGAATAGTAGAAGTGGAGTTTATTACTCATCGTAACTTGTGAATGAATTTTGAAGACAAACCGTTAGTGGAAAAAATTACTCAAAATGAAGAAATTATTATTCTGGAACCTGGCGGGCGTCTTGGCGATGGCTGGCAGTGCAATGGTAAGATGATACCTGAGAGAGAGAGAGAGAGAGAGAGAGAGAGAGAGAGAGAGAGAGTGTGTGTGTGTGCGTGTGTGTGTGTGTGTATGTGTGTGAGAGAAATGCTATGAAAGTATTGGACTGGTATAAATATGTTTCATATTCCTATCTCTTACTTTATCCTCATGCCCCCTCTACGAGTAATCTACTTATCCATGCTAAACTTTACAACCTGTAAACGCAGTGGTGCTGGTCATAACTACACGACACCAGTTTGAACCTTATTTCTTGGTAATCTTTCCTTTACACTTTCCTTCCACATTAAGTATTTCTACAACTCCTAAGAACCAAACTCTCCTGACTCCACTATTTCGAAGCTTTTAAAATTGATTGAAATAGGCTCTTTTGCTTTCTCTACACTATATATATATATATATATATATATATATATATATATATATATATAATCAACACATCAACCCGCCAGGATTCGAACAACACATCAACCCGCCAGGATTCAAACCCACGGCCCACAAGCCTATGACTGTGACAGGGGAACGCTAACCAGCTGGACCACCAGGATACTAAAAGCAGTCCTAGACTTTGTTATATTTCACACAAAAGCCTGTTCAATGAGCTTATGGCGCGTGAACCTCTAATGGGAACTACCCGTATCACGTGGGTGGTCAGGATTCCTGGTCACAGTCACAGGCTTGTGGGCCGTGGGTTCGAATCCTGGCGGGTTGAGGTGTTGATTGTATGCTTAAGTCCGCGTGCCTTATTGGACTAATGATATATATATATATATATATATATATAAATATATATATATATATATATATATATATATATATATATATATATATATATATATATATATATATATATATATATATATATATATATTGTATAATATGGACACGAAGTAGTACCTTAAGCTGTGTATTCTTATATTACTCCATTAATTATGTATAGTAAAGTATTACAGAACATGTATTAATCCTATGTAATATTTCCATTTATTATGCACCATGTTATGTATGTGAATTATCATATTTACATATTATGTATTCAGCTTGTGAATGCTGGCATCTGTACATGCCAGCGCGGAGTGATACAGGGAGTGGAGGTCGCTAGTCCTTATGGTGTGGAAGCCCACTGTCTATTTGTTTCCTCTGTATATCTCCCGTACGAGAATAAGAACCTATTTTCAAGATAACAAGTGTATGTGTATACCCTCAGTAGTGTAGAACATTTTGGGGGCATCAAAGACAAACATAGATGGCGCAGTGAGATTTCTCAGTGAGATTCAGAGTGAATTCAGCCTTCCCGCCGGACTGTGTTAATGGCGTCTCGTCTTCAGCTTCGCCAAGGATTTACAGCCAGACTACAAGCCTCAGGACTTACAGTGTTGTGAAGGGCTATGCTGTGTACAGTGCTGTGCTGTGAAGGGAATTGTTCGGTGAAGTGCTGTGTTGTGTATTTTAATCAGAATTGTCTGTGCAAACTGCAGTCAGATGACTGAGGGAGCTGCCCTGCAGTACATCCTTTCCTGCCTATAGTCATTGGGTAACTGAGCAGCGCGCATTAAGACAACTTCGGTTCAGTTGCGACTTGCGCCCAGCTGCCTCTACGTCTGGCAGCGCGCCAAGCCTCCCGGCAACGAGCCATACGCACACACACGCACTCACAGGCCCACTTTATATTAAATTCTTGCGTATTACTTTAGACTTCTGTAATTCTGTGCATAGTTTACGAGGGGTTGACCCGGTCTCTTGCACAGATAGAGTACAGAAGCTGTCGGCATGTCTTACAGGGATCAAAAAGATACCCTGGACGACGGGATTATGAGTTTAAGTTTGGGAGACCTCTCCCCACCCACACTCAGGCCCCACGCTCCCCACAGTGACAACGCCCAATCACCCACAGAATCTCCTCGTTCGTCGCGAGCAAGCTCTCCTGCGGTGCCTGCGTCCAAGGATCTCCTTCAACTGATTAAGTGGATGGAAACTTCTCGACGCCAGGACTATGTTGCAAGGAGAGAAGAGGAAGAAATTCGATACAGAGAGTCTGAAAGACGAAGCCACGAGGATGAACAAAGACGCAGAGAACTAGAAGATATACGTAGAAGTGAGGATGACCTGAGAAGAAGAAAGGATCAAGCCAGATTTGAAGCCTTGATTTCCCTGTTAGCCTCCCCACAACGATCTACTGTACAAGATTCTTCTGCTACTACTAATGCTGATACGTCTAGAGGTACTGGTACCTCATTTCCCAGAGTCGGTTCAACAATTCCTCAAAAGGCTGCAGCACAAACGCCTCCATCTCTGAAGTCTGATGCTTCTTATCAGATATTTCGGGAATGGCGTCGACGCTGGCAAGACTATGCAACAATGGTTGACCTTTCAAGTTTACCACAGCCTAAACAGATGATATAGCTTCGTATGTGCTTGTCCTTAGAGACACAACGTACTCTCGAGCACACACTTCAAGTGCCTCCTACGACAACTCTGACTGTAGAGGCCTTGCTTGACAAGTTACAGGAACATGTTAAGGAACAATGCAACGAAGCACTTAGAAGAAGAGAACTCCTCCAATGTAAGCAGCTTGATGGAGAATCTTTTGATGCATTTTTTGTAAGACTGAAAAGATGTTCAGAGGAAGTTAATGTTTGTCCTGGAAATTCTCAAGTTTGTGAAGAGACACAGCTCAAGACAATCATTTTAACGGGTATTCGAGATGAAGAGCTAGTTCAGCGTCTCATTTCACTTGACCCCACTTCCTCCCTTCAAGATGTAGTTACAAAATGTCGAGCGTACGAGGCCGCCAGGTGTGCGACTTCAGCTTTACGCTCACAACCTGACCAGGTGAGGGCGGTGTCTTCCTACAGAAAGGGTAAGAAGCAGCAAGGTAACCCCACCCCTCACCCTCCAGCTACACCTTCAGCAGCAGCTTTGTGTAACAGCTGTGCGAGACAGCATGATGCCTCCTAGTGCCCAGCTGCTCAAAGCGTGTGCAGAAGTTGCGACCGCCAGGGTCACTGGGCCTACGCAGTCAAGTGCCCTGCTAGCAAAGTTCAGTGCAGACTTTGTGGTCGTGTGGGCCATTATGACAAATGTTGTCGTAAGAAGACACAGAAAGGACACAACCAAGGATCCAAGAAGTCATCCACAGGTAGTGCTGGCACGCCCCCTTCTTCTGGCAAGCATCAAGGCGCTGTGTCCAGTCGTTCCTGCCGTCGTGTACATTGTTCCATAGACACGACGCCCCAGCACATCAGTGTCGTCATTTCTCACGGTAACTTGTCATCCAGTCTTCAGATGTTACCTGACACCGGTGCTGACGTCTCAGTAATTGGTCCACAACACTTAGCAAGTTTGGGAATACCCGGGAGCAACCTACAGCCCCCTCCTCAGACAACGAAACTGACAGCTAATGGTTCCAAGATGGCTCCAGCTTTGGGATATTTCTGTGCTACTCTTACCTTTGGTAAGCAGTCTTGCTCAGCCCGGATTGATGTTCATGATGGGGTCCCGACTCCGCTTTTATCATATGGCCCTTGTCAAGAGTTGGCCATTATTGCCAAGGAATTCCCCAAACATATTTTAAAGGTCACCCATGTCAACAGGTTGACGGAACTCCCTATCTCTACTAACACGTCCCCTTCTGATGCAAGAGCTTACCTTCTCAAGGAGTTTGCTGACGTGTTGGTTACGAAGAAATCTTGAGGATCCACACCATTCAAGCCGATGGTGGGTCCACCTATGAAGATTCATCTTAAGGATGGTGCCACACCTTTTGCCATCCACACCCCTCGTTTGATTCCTCACGCCTACAAGGAGCTAGTTAGACAAGAGCTTGACTCCATGGTTGCTCAGGGAATCTTCAAGCCGGCCGGAGACGAACCTTCACCTTGGTGCCACCCTCTCGTCCCCGTCGCCAAACCTCGTGGTGGAGTACGGATCACCACCAATCTGTCAAAACTTAACCAGCAAGTTTCCCGTCCAGCCCACCCTTCACCCCACACCCTTCGCAGCTGTTCGAAATGTGGATGCGAAGGCGAAGTTTTTTACAACGATGGACGCCTTATGTGGTTATTGGCAGATCGAGTTGGCCGAAGAAGACCAGCATTTGACTACATTCATCACACCATATGGAAGATATCAGTATTGCAGAGGCCCCATGGGATTTGCCGCTACGGGCGATGCAATCTGTCAACGTGGTGACGCGGCCCTTCAAGGAGTCACGAATTGTGTCAAGGTGGTTGATGATATTTTACTCCATGACGAAGACTACTGTGCCCACCTCTCCCGAATATATGAAGTTCTCACCAGATGTCGAAAGTACGGGATTACCCTCAATGCTGACAAGTTTGTAGTCGCCGCACCATCAGTGAACTTCTGTGGGTACACTCTCTCAGCATCAGGTATCGCAGCTGACCCGGAGAAATTAAGTGGAATCAGGGATTTTCCAACCCCTGCCAACCTGACAGACCTCGGTTCTTTTTTGGGTCTGGTCAATCAGCTGGCTGAATTCTCACCTGACATCTCCTCTGCAGCCCAGCCATTACGCCCCCTGTTGAGCCCCAGGAGGACATTCCTGTGGACCCCAGATCATCAAGAGGCCTTCCAGCGAGTCAAGCAGGCCCTCTTAAGTCCACCTGTCCTCGCCTGTTACGACCCAGCCCTACCCACCGTCCTCCAGACTGACGCCTCCAGACGCTCTTCTGCAGGACCATGGTGATGGACAACTCCGCTTAATTCAGTGTGGATCCCGGTTCCTGACGGACGCCGAGACCCGATAAGCCACGATTGAGCTGGAGATGTTGGCTGTTGTCTGGGCGATGGCGAAGTGCCGCTTCTACCTGATAGGACTTCAGCACTTCACCCTCTTCATGGATCATCGCCCTCTTGTACCTATTATCAATCACTACTCTTTGGATGCAGTAGAGATTCCTCGCCTTCAACGTTTGAAAGAGAAGCTGTCGCCTTATCACTTCATGGCTGTGTGGCGTGCGGGTA